TTCTATGTGTCAGACACTGTTCTAAGTGCTGGGAATATAAAGAAAGGCAAAAGATAGTTCCTGCCCTTGAGGAGTCCACAATATAATGGGGGAGACAACATGCAAACAATTATGTACAAGCAAACTATATACAAAATAAATAGGAAATAATTGACAGAGAAAAGGCATTAGAATTAAGAAGGGTTAGGAAATGCTTCCTATAAAAGGTAGATTGGTTTTTTTGAGGCAACTGGGGTTAAGTGACTTGCCCAGGGTCTCACAGCTAGTAAGTGTCAAGTGGTGTCTGGTCTGAGACTGGATTTGAACTCAGGTCCTCCCGACTGTAGGGCTGGTGGTGCTCTATAAACTGTGCCACCTAGCTGCCCCTAAAAGGTAGAATTTTACCTGAGATTTGAAGGAAGCTAAGGGAAGCCAGGTGGCAGAAATAAAGAGGGAGAATATTCTAGGCAGGGGAGACAGCCAGAGAAAATGCCTAGAACCTATAGGAATGTCTCGTTCATGGAGCAAGAAGGAGGCCAGTGTTACTGTATCAGAGAGTAGGTGGAGCACCAGGGTGTAAGGTATAAGAAGACTGGAAAGGTGGGATAGGGGGTGGGGACGGACCTAGGATATGAAAGACTTTGAACACCAAAGCACAAAATTTTATATGTAATCCTGGAGGTGAGAGGGAGCTGCTGTAGTTTATTGAGTATGGGGGTGACATGGTCAGATCCGTGTTTTAGGAAAATCACTTAATTTGGCAGCTGAATGGAGCATGAACTGGAGTTGAGTCAGAGGGGTCAGGAAGAATGAGGATTGAGAAAATTATATTGGACTTGAAAATTAGGAGGTCATCAGTAAGTTTGGAGAGAGCAGTTTGCGTGGAATGATGGTTGGAAGCAGGATTTTAGTGGATTAACAGAAAGGAGAGGAAACAGAGGTATCTATGATAGATGGCCTTCTCGAGGAGTTTAGCCACAAAGGTCAGAAGATATATAGGATGATGATTACAAGGCTGAAAGGTCAAGTAAGGGTTTATGAGGATGGGAGAGGCATGGGCATGTTTACAGATATGAGAGAAGGAGACGCGGAGAGATTGAAGATAAGAGAGGGGATGGAGATAGGATGGAATGAGATCAATCGTGCAGATAGAAGAGGTTAAACTTGGCAAGCAGTAGGGCCCACCTCTTCATGTGAGACACTGAAAGAGAAGAATGGCAGAAGGCATTGAGAGCTCTCAAACTGCCTTGGTTTTTTTCAGTAAAATATGAGGCAAGATTGTTAGCTTCAAGGGTAACAGGAGGGATAAGACATAGGAGGGTTGAGGAGGAATGAAAAAGGGTTTGGAAAGGGTGTGGAAAGGTGTGGAAGGGAACAAACATTTATGTAATGCTACTCTGTGTCAGGCACATTTTACAAATATTTCAACTGATAATTTGAGAGTGGAATAGTAAGTTGATAAGGGTGGTATAGAAGGATTAACTAGCAGCAGTAAGGGCCCAATTGAGGTTAAGTAACATAAATTTGTAGTGGACCCAGTTAGAACAGTTGCATGATTTCCTCTACCTTCATTCTGCAGCATGTGTGTATGTGTAAAAGCAGTGGATGCTGGGAGTGATTCAAGGCTTGGCAGGGCACATTTGGTCATATGATAAAGGGGCAAGGAACTCAGAGGTAGAAAATAATGTAGAGTTGAACTGGTTCATCAAGGGGTCAAAATAGGGAAAAGAGGAGACAGTGGCAAGTGCAGGGGAGATGGCCTGCGAAAGAACTCAGGGGTCAAAGGATTGGAGGTCACAGTGTGGACAAAGAATAAGATTTGCTATGGGAAGGCAGAAGGGCATTTGGAAAGTCAATAGGTTGTGATCAGAAAAGGGGATTTCAGAATTCTTAAATATGGAGGTGGCATATTTGTAAATGATGCCAAAATCAAGGGCATGACCATCTTTGTGTGTGGCAGAGACAGTCATGGAAAGTGAATAGGTTGGGGAACTGGGTGGTTGAGGCAGTATCAATATGTATGTTGAAATCCTCTAGTATAAGGGCATGAGTTAGGGAGGAGAGAAAAATTGTAAACCAAGTATAGAACTCATTGAGGAAAGAAGGGGAGTGCCTTGGGGGTCTGTAAACAATAGCTACCACTATTCTAATTCATTGGAAGATGTAGATTGTATGGACCTCAAAGGAGGGGAGGTAACTACATGACGGTGGTAGAAGAGAATCTGCAAGTGGCAAAGGGGAGCGAAGATTATTCTAATTCCCCCACTTCAACCAGTGAGTTGAGGAAATGAGTGAAAGTGCAGCCAGTACTAGAAGGGGTAGCCATAAAGGCTGTCATTAGGTGGGAGTCAGATCTTGGTGACCAACAGAAGATGGAAAGACAGAAAAGGAAAAGATTTAGATGAAGGCAAGTTTGTTGCCATGGAGCAGGCATTCCAGAGGGTACAGTGGGAGGGATAGGTAGCATTTGGTTAGGACTTTGGGGTGGGAGGGTTTAAGTTAGGAATAAGAAATCATGTAGGGGCAGCTAGGTGGCACAGTGGATAGAGCACCAGCCCTGGAATCAGGAGGACCTGAATTCAAATCCAGCCTCAGACACTTGACACTTATTAGCTGTGTGACCCTGGGCAAGTCACTTAACCCCATTGCTACCCTTACCCCCCCAAAAAACAAACAAACCATGTAATGGGAAGTGGGGTTTGGATGACTCAGGGGTTCAGAATCGCTGAGATTTGTGGTTGTAGGACCAGGTGTGAGTATGTTAATCTTTAAATGAAAGGCACTTTTCTTCTTCCCAGAGGAGGCTGGAGATCAGGCAGGATACACCCACAGCATGATGGAAGGTTCGTGGTCAGATGGAAGGCCTCTTTTTTCTTCTCCTCTTCCCTCTGAAGGCTGGAGATTAGGCAGGAGATGGCTCAGCAGGAGATGGAAGTCAGGTCCAATCACATGCTTCCTTTCCGCTTCCTCCTCCCTTAGGGGGCATGCACAGGAAATAGAAGGAGGTGGTCCCATAAAAAGTTGAGCTTTACTCCTCTTGGAGAAGGCTGGAGAAAGGTAAGGGCAGCAGGAGACAGAAGTTACACTTGGCCCAATTCTGCCTGTCCTTGCCCTCTTTCCTCAGTGTCATATAACTCCCTGATGGTACCTTTTAATCACTAGTAATATGCTGCAGCATCTTCACACTCACCAGTGCCCTTCAGTAACCCATAAGTTAATTTGAAGGAAACTGTGATTGATAGCCATATAGCATCACAAGAAGAGGGACCTTTGTCTGAGAAAAACACTTGAGGTCATTACAAACATGGCACAGTTTTCCAAAGGTAACCCAACTTACTCTTTTTTCCTATGTAATTCCAAGTCCAGTTTATTGTCAGTACTCAGTGTTGGCCCATGATATTCTTACAGATCTGGAGTCAGGAAGACCTGGGTTCAAATCTAGCCTCAGACACTTAATTAGTTGTGTGACCCTGGGCAAGTCTCTTAGGCTCTCTGTGCCTCAGTTCCCTCATCTGTAAAAAAATCAGTAAGCACTTATTAATAAGTACCTGTTCCGTACCAGGCACTGTGCTAAGTGCTGGGGATACAAAGAAAGGCAGGACAGTTCCTGCTTTCGAGTTCACCATCTAAACAAGGAGACAACATACAAACACCTATGTAATAATTGACAGAAGCAGGGCACTAGAATTAAGAGGAATTGGGAAGAAGACTTCCTGTAAAAGGTCGAATTTTAGCTGGGACTTGGAGAGAAGCCAGGGAAGCCAGGAGGCAGAGATGAGGGAAGCATACCAGGCATGGGGGACAGCCAGAGAAAATGCCTAGGGCTGAGAGATAGAGTGTCTTGTTTATGGAGCAGTCATGGGGCCATTGTCACTGGATCAGAGTACTAAAAAGACTGGAAAGGCTTTGAATGCCAAAGAGAGTAGTTTATATTTGATCCTGGAGGTGATAGGGAGCCCCTGGAGTTTATTGAGTTTGGGAGTTGCACTTTAGGAAAATCATTTTAGTGGCTGAATGGAGGGAGGAGGGACTAATACTAAAACAACCAGCCTCTCAAGATTGTTGTGAATATAAAATGAGATATTTATAAAGCATTTTGCAAGCCTAAAGTGCTATATAAATGCTGGGTATTGCTATATATCATAATGTAGACAATAGGTATTCTTCATCCACTTGTTTTTCCAGAGTGGATAATTGGGCCAAACTACTTTAAGTGATTATGGATTTCATTTATGAGATTTAGTAGTATTCCAGAGCTTGATGCATTCAAAACATGTCATATGAAAAAATGGCACACTTGGAGCATGTCTACATCTACAGAGGATTATTCTTCAATTTGGACCCTTTAATGGATATCCTCCATGACAGTGGCAACCAGTGTTGTCATATACATCTTGTTTTATATCTCAAGTTGATATTAAAAATCAAAGGCTCACTGTTATTGTCACAAATTATCTGTTGTTACATATTTCAAGGAATTTTATATAATTCTGACATGGATGAAAGACACTTTCTTGAAGGTACCTTTAAGGTTGCTTCTTGTTTATAATTCCTGAATGCTGGAAGGCCTTTTCTTTTTCATCTTGCTTGTCTTTTAGGGGTGGCACAATGGATAGAGAGCTGGTACTTGACTCAGAAAGACCTGAATTCAAATCCAGTCCCAGACATTTAACTAGCTGTGTGGCCCTGGAAAAGTCATTTTACTTGTCTGGCTGTTTCCTCACCTATTAAATGAAAGTGATAAGAGTACCTACCTCCCTAGGGTGGGTATGAGGATAAAATGAGATATTTGTAAGGCATTTTGCAAACCTTAAAGCACCAAGCAAATGCTAACTATTATCATCTTAGAGGATCTAGTTTTATGTAGCTATATCTAGTTACAAGGCTAGTGCCTTGTAACAATGGTCAGGTCTTTACCAGTCCCCTCCAAAGAGTTACATTTTTATAACAGTATAATCATCTCTAGGATGTACAGAATTGTATAATCTAAACATTAGAATGTGTAATTTTTTTTTTGCAAGGCCCAAGGTCAAAGGAAAATCACCAACATGGTAGAAAATAAAAAGTATCACAAAGGAATATTTCAGATCGAATGGGAACATAAAAAAATGGAGATGGAAATGGAAGATCTCAACCAAAAAGCCTGGGATGTTCAGATGCTATTTTTTTCAAGAGCTCATCAGTTGGTAAATTACTCTTTTGAATATAGATCACCTTTAAAAAATTATTCACATGGATCCAGTAGCATTTTATAAAACCTCTTTTGATTCTATAATTATCAATCAATCAGCAAGTATTTGTTAAGTGCCTACTATGTGCCAGACTGATACAAATACAGTGAATGAAACAACCCCTACTCAAAAGTAACTTACATTCTAACCAGATAAACTGCAAATACCTATGGAAATATGTATATACAGAGTAAATACAAAGCAGTTAAATACACCATAGTTTAAAAAGTAAGTTATTAGCAAGTAAGGCTAGAATGGCTTCATATCATATAAGGTGGTATTTGACATATGGAAATGATGAGGGAGGGCATTCTAGGCATAAGGAACAAACATTGCAAAGGCATGGAGATAGGAAATGGAGTATCATGAGAAGAACAAATGAGGCTAGTTTGACTCAATCACAGAATGAGGGAAGATGAGGAATTTAAGAGGAGGGCAAAAAGGTTGGGGCAAGACTGTGAAAGGTTTTGAAAGGTAAACAGAGGGTTTATAATTTATCTTAGAGGCAATGGGGAGCTTTTGGAATTTACTGGGTAGGGAAGTGACATAGTCAGATCTGTACATAAGGAAAATCACCTTTTGTAACCAGCTTGAAGGAGGTTGGACTAGAAAGCTGAAAGACAAATTAAGAAGCCATGGCAATAATCTAGGCAAGAGGTGATGAGAGCTAAGCTAAAGTGGCAACTGTGTGAATAGAGAGGAGTCAGATTTGATTTGACAATTGATTATATTTGTGGGGTGAGAGAAGTGTAAGATTCAGTCAATAAATATTAAGCACCTGCTATGTGCCAGGCACTGTAATGTGTCCTGGGAATACAAAGATAGGCAAAAGCCAGCTCCTACTCTCAGAGAATTCACAATACAATGGGCAAAGACAACACATAAAAAGATGCTGTGAAGGACAGATGAGGGGGAGAGATATCTGGCCTGGGAGCATGATGAAGTCCAGAGGAGTACAACAGTACAGGAAATGATGAGATGACCACCCTGCCCCCTCCTTAAAAGGAGGATCTTGGAGGAGCTCTCCAATGTCCATCCTCTACCATCTCCAATCAGAGGAAGGGAGGGGCCTCAGGAGCAGGGCATACAGAGAAGGTATGAGTTTCAGAATTGATGTGACCTTGCAAGATGATATGTTTCTTGAGACTAGGATGACATCCTGGAGTGAAAATAGGTGGAAAATGAGTACCAAGACTTGAGGGACACAGATTAGAGTATGGGTGGTCAAATGTAAATTACCATCACTGTACATAGAATTTTAGTATCTAAAGAGGGTGGTAAAAAAAAACCATGGCAAACAAATAGCATCTTTGAATACAGAGCAGAATGACACATTATCTGCTTATTAAAATAGGCAAGATAACAAAGAATGTGAACTTTTCATTTATATTAATATGATCTTTCTTCCTCCTAGTACCTAAAAGAAGAAAATCATGATATCCTGGTTGCCCTCCAAATTTCTCTAATGGAGCAGACTCTTGCCGCTATAGATAAAGTAAGATTCAACCTTACTGTATATAATATAAATTCTGAAATGTTCCTAAATTAATACTTGTAATGAGTTTCAGGGTGAAATGAGAGGTTTTAATTATCAGGAATCTAAGTTCACTTTAATATTTATGATGCACCTAATGTGCAAAATGTCTTTGGTTGCTGGGGAGACAAAGACAAAAAACAAAGGTAGCCCTGCTTTCAAGGAGTGTGTGCTGGGGGGCGAACGGTGGGGGTGGAAATTATATTTATTACCTGTAGATAACCACAAGGGAATCTATGGCAAGTAAGGCTTCATGGAAGAGGCAGCTAAGGAGAGTATTAAAGATGAGGATTCGCTGAAGAGAATTAGAAAAGAATATATCCCAGGCATGGCAACAGATTCATAGAACAAATTCATAGAAGCCAGAGGTGGCATGTCCAATTTGCTTAGAATGTAGAGGGTGTGAAGGGCAGTTATTTGTGATAAGGCCTTAAATGCCAGCTCGAGGAGTTCAAAGTTTTTCTTAGAAGCAGTAAGGAGCTACTGAAGGCTTTGGTTGTTATTGTTGATTTTTAGCTTGGAAGTGACATCATCTTAGGAAGATTATTTTGGCAGTTCCTATATGGAAGCTGAAGAGGAGAAAATACTAAAAGCAGGGAGGCTAATCTGGGTGATTGGGAAGAAATTTGAATGAGGGTGAGGGGAAGATAAGCTCTAAACCTATCACCTTAAAGATACTAACGGCATATCCAGCAGGTGGAAATGTCTAGCAGAGGCAACTGGCAACATGAGATTATGAGTTTAAAAGAGATTATGGCTAGTCTGCTGAGTTCATAATTGAACCCATGGAAACAGATGAGAAGACCAAGGGCTAAAGTATAAACCATGCTTTCAGGGAGACAGACAAATGAGTAGACAATTAAAAGAACCAGGAGAGAGCAACATCCCAGATACCAAAGGAAGAGACAGTATCCAAAAGGGGGTAGTCAATAGAGTCAACAGTTGAAAAGAGGTCAAGGAATACAATGACTAAGGAAAGGCCCTTAAGTTTAATAATGAAGAGATTATTGGCAACCTTTAAGTAGAAGTGGGAAAAGAGGGAAGAGAGCAAGAATGAAAGTAGTTGGAAAGTAAGTGTAAATAGCAGTGTGGGCAACTTTCTAGGAATTTTGCAGTGAAAAGGAAAAAGAGATACAGGACAATAGCTTGAATGGATGGCAGGGTCATATAAACAATTTCTAAGAACGAGAGATATGTGTTAATAGGCAACCGGGAAGAAGCCCATAAGTAAGAATGATCTATGAGGCAAGCAGCAAGAGGAAAAACAGCAGGGGTTGGAATCAAGGGCACAAATATAGGATTTGACCTTGGTCAAGTTTTCATGAGAGTGTGGAGCAAAGGAGGAGAATATGTGTAGGTAGAGGGATTTTGAGATGTGACAAAGGGGAGAATTGAGTGAATGAAAAAATAATCAATCAACAACCATTAATTAAGCACCTACATATGCCAGACTAGAGATGCAAATACAAAGAATGAAACAATCTCTTCTCTTAAGGAGCTTACATTATACTATGGGACACAAGTATGTATGTAAGTATATACAGAATACATATAAAGAAAATACAAATGAAGAGAAAATATTTAAATACAAAGTTAGGCAGGCAGGGTCCTAGCAGTTGGCGGGGAGCAAGAAAGATTTCAGATGTAGAAGGTGGTGCTTGAGTTGTGATTTGAAAAGAGAGATTCTGTGATGCAGAGGTGAGGAGGGAAGGCATTCCAGTCATAAGATGGAAAAAGGAAAGAAGCCAGAGTAAAGCTGATTAACTGGGAGAATGGTGAGGGATGAAAGAGAACAGATTAGAGATCACACTAAGCAAAGAGAAGGATTAGAGAGTAGGGAATTTCAGTTCTGCAATCATAATCTATTGCCAGTCTGGGAAACCTGTTAATATACTATAATCACCTTAGCAACTTATTTGTGACAAATGTCATTGAGTGAGTGACCTTGTATCCATCAATCCTATATTCAGACCTTCAGAGCCAACTGGATGGCATTAGTACTTGAAAAACTTATGTCTGATAAAATGTTTGTAATCTTTTCTAAGCATTCTACACAAAGTAAATGCTCAATACTTGTTGATGGTTAGGTAAAACTAAGATTATAACAACAAAGTCATTTTGGGCTAAGATGATGTTCAATTTTTTTTACTCTTGTTGCTTCAATTTTCAGGGTTATTCCAGAGTATTTTGATTGAAATTATGTCAATGATAATTCACAGATAAAAGAATATGGTTAAGTTTTTTAATAGCATCCTCACATAATAAGTTCCAATGACTTTTTCACATATTTTTTCTTGGGCGGGGGGGGGGTTTGATGGTGTCATGGTAAAATTTCTAGACCCACAAAAAAGACGTGGAAGCCCAAAAACAGTTACTCAAGAAACTGAGAAAAATCAACAATCAACAAGATTTAGCAAATTATGCTCTCAGCTGCACTCTACATGAAGAGTTGGTGTGTGTCTCTGAAAGAAAACGCATCTGTCAATCAATCGGTAAGCCAATTTTTACCAATCGTGGGATGTTTACCTTTCTAAGGTTAAAAAGTTGGCTAGCAGATTTAAAAGCTGCACAGCAGTTTACCATTGTGTTATAGCAGTTCACAAAGTTCTTGATATATTTGAAAATGTTATTAAAACTCGTCATGACAAATGACATTTCTTTGATATTTTAGAGAGTGATTCCACTTTGTTGTTTTTTGAAACAGAGGTTAAGCTGACTTGTGAAAAGATTTCCAGGAAACGTTATGAGGCTACAATACAACAACAAAAGCTAATAGATATTTCAAAAGAGCAGTATGAACAAATTTCAGTTTTACAAACAGAGGTTGAAAGATTAAGAATGAAAACATTTCCTGCACTTATTCATATGTAGAAATGCTGGCAAAATATGTGAGGCAGAAGATATCAAATATCATGAAGAAATCTCTGTTCTCAGGCATTTGAAATTTCTTTTCTTCAGTGAGAGAAAAATAAAATACTGGGGTTTTTTTCCCTTAAAATCTACCCTTAATTGAAATTATTTAGCTCTTCCCAAAAGATTGTAAAAATGTAAATTCTGTACTTAATTAATAAAAGTGATAAAAAAACTATCAGAGTGTCTCTATTTAAGAGTAAGCAAGATTAACTATTTGCAGGATGTTATGCTAAAAAAGTAATTAAAATGTCCACACTTTTTAACCCAGAGATCTCAGTAAAAGGCATCAAGACAGTAAATGATAAAAAGTTTCCATTTATATCAAAAATATTAGCATCACTTTTTGTAGTTGAAAAGAACAGAAAACAAAGTATATGAACATCAGCTGGGAGTGGAATATTGGCTACACTGTGAGAAATTATGAATATGAAAGAAACAGAGAAGCAGGGAAAGATTTCTGTTTTACAATACAAAGTGAAGTTAGCAGAACCACAAAAACATCTACACTATGGCTACAGCAATGTCATTGGAAAGAACAAAATCAAGTGAATTTTGTGAAATTATGATGAAGCTGGGCTCCAAAGAAGAGAATGTTCCTTGATCCTTTACTATGGGTGTGGAAAACTGTACATATCAGATTAGATGATGTGTTGATTAGTTTTCTGAACTGTTTTTTCCCTTTTTATTATTCTGAGAGAAGTAGATAATATATTGGAAAATGAAGGGGATGTAAGAGAAGACATCAATAAAAAGCATATTATTAAAGCATATTTTAAAAAAGACTTGTCTCAATGGAAAGTAGACAAGACAGTTTCTCAAGTATAATGGAAATTATGGCAATTTTTCTTTTTTTAACAGAAAAATGTGAGCTGCTTTATTTGATAAACAAGGGAACCCTTTTTCATTCATATATAAAGCATAAACATTTTTAGGTTCTAACGCATGTTTCTTTGTTGTTATTTTTATTTTATTATTTACTTTCAACATTTTTTAAAAATTGAGTTTGAAATTCTCTCCCTCCCACAAATCCTTCCCCTACTTCACTGAGAAGGCAAGCAATATGATAAACATTATACGTGTGAAATCATGCAAAACATATTTCCAGATTAGCCATGTTACCAAAAAAAGGCAAGAAAAATAAAGTAAGAAAATCATACGTCAATTTGCCCTCAGATTTCATCAATTCTCTCTGTGGAAGTGGATAGCAATTTTCAACATGAGTCTTTTCAAATTGTCTTGGATCATTGTATTTATCAGAATAACTAAATATTTCACAGTTGTCCTTTCAATATTGCTGTTGACAATCATATACCACAACTTGTTCAGCCACTCCCCAGCTGATGAATATCTCTATTTACAATTTTTTTGCCACCACAAAAAGAGCTGCAATAAATATTTTTCTACATATAGGTCCTTTTTCTTTTATCTCTTTGGTGGTAGTGGTATTTCTGGGCAAAAGGGTATATGTGAGGGACTGTCTGATGTTGGCAGCTGCCAGTTGGGTGCTGTGGCATGGGTAAGGTAAGATCTGGGTATTTTGGAAGTCGAGGCAGGGACTGTGGTAGGCAGAGTCGTGTGTACTGGGATGGGCTGGATTCGGAGAAGCCATGAGGCAATTGGGCAGTGCTCTGTGACATAAGCTGGGTGCAAGGAAGTAGCCGAGCCTGAACTCCTGAGGCAAGGGGCGGTGCCACGTGGGAGTGGGATGGCAGAGGACTGAGTTCCCTCTGCTTAGTCCCCTCCCTATATGCAACGTCATCCCCAGATGCCTCTTGTGACCTTCCTGACCTTGTGCAGCACTGACCCAGTCCCCTCCTGAGTCTGACTTCCTAGGTCACGTACTCTTGTCTATGCGTCAATCCCAGATGCCTCCTTCCTGTATCCAATCCTGGCCTCCTACGTCACTCCCTCCCCCTTGGTGTGCTAAACTCAGACAGCCCCTTCCGGTATCTGACCCTACAATCATTGGTTAGTAGCGGGCTGGGGAGGAGGGGCTAAGTAGGTACTTAGGAACAAGCGTGGTCAGAACACACGTGCGCTCTCCCCTGGCTCCTGCCTGTTGCTCTGGCCTTGCTGCTTGGGCTTGCTATGATGGTTTGCTGTGTTGGCCTCTGAATAAAACTGTGGTGTTGGTGCCTTCCCATGGCTTGTCTCTGTGTGGTGATCCGGCTGAGGACCGAGGACCCAGGCATGGGTAAGACTCTGGCGGTGCTCTTCTCATAGGAGAAGTGGGTACTGGCGCATGACTGGCAGAGGGTCAGCGTGCGGCCCGTATAGGTATACAGTTATATAACCCTTTTGGTGTAGTTCCAATTTTCTCTAGAATGGTTAGACCAGTTCACAACTCTACCAACAGCTCATTAGTGTACCAATCTCCCCACAAATAGCTGGAAAAATAAACAAACAAACAAAAAATTGACCATAAAAAACTACTAAGGTGATGGGAAGACTAAGACACAAACTCAGAAGACAACAACGTGAAAACATCTATAAACAAAGCCTTAAAAAAGGGCAAATTGGACACAAACCCAAAAAGAATTCTGGGAAGAGTTAAAGAGATAAGAGTGATAGAGGAAAATTTGGGAAAATAAATGAGAGTGATGCAAGAAAATTATGAAAAGAGTAATAGTTTGGTAAAGGAGGCACAACAATTACCAAAGAAAATAACACCTTCAAAAACAGAATTGGCCCTAATGGTAAAAGAGGTACAAAAATTCACTTTATTGAGCTCACTATAATTTCTCTTTTATGTTCACTATTTTATGCTTCTCTTGAGCTCTGTGTTTGAATGTCAAATCTTAATCTTCATCTTTTCATTAGGAATGCTTGAAAGTCCTCTATTTCATGAAATATCCATTTTTCCCCCTGAAGGATTATATATTCAGTTTTGCTGGTAGGTTATTCCTGGCTGTAATCCTAGCTACTTTGCTTTCCAAAATGCTGCTAAATCTTGTGTGATAACTGACTGTGGCTCCACAATATTTGAATTGTTTCTTTCTGGCTGCTTGAAGTATTTCTCTTTGATCTGAAAGCTCTGGAATTTGGCTGTAATATTCTTGGGAGTTTTCATTTTGGGATCTCTGTTAGGGGGTGATCAGTGGATTCTTTCCATTTCTATTTTATGCTTTGGATCTAAGATATCAGGGTAGTTTTCCTTGATAATTTCTTGAAATATGATGTCTAGGCCCTTTTTTTGTTCAGGGCTTTCTGCTAGTCTAGTAATTCTTAAATGATCTCTTCTTGATCTTTTTTGCAGATTGATTTTTCAAATGAGATATTTCACATTTTCTTCTATTTTTTTATTCTCTTGACTGTTTTATTGTTTCCTTTTGTCTTACTGAATCATTAACTTCCACTTGTCCAGTTCTAATTTTTAAGAAATTATTTTCTTCAGTGAGTTTTTGGACCTCTTTTTCCATTTGGCTAATTTTGCTTTTTAAGGAGTTTTTTTTTCCTTTTTATTTATTTTTAGTTTTCAACATTCACTTTTCTAAGATTTTGAGTTCCAAATTTCCCCCCCTTTCTCCTCCCCAAGATGGCAAACTATCTGATACAGGCTATACATGTACAATCACATTAAACATATTTCCACATTAGTCATGTTGTGAAAGAAGAATCAGAACAAAAGGGAAAAACCACAACAAAAAAAAGAGAAACTAGATCTGCATTCAGACTTCATAGTTCTTTCTCTGGATGTGGATAACATTTTCCATCACTAATCTTTTGGAATTGTCTTAGATTATTGTATTGCCAAGAAGAGCTAAGTCTATCAAAGTTGGTCATCACACAATGTTGCTGTTACTGTGTACAATGTTCTCCTTCACTCAGCACCAATTCATATAAGTCTTTCCAGGTTTTTCTGAAGTATGCTTGCTCATCATTTCTTATAGCACAATAGTATTTCATTACATTCATATACCACAATTTGTTCAGCCATTCCCCAAATGATGGGCATCCCCTCAATTTCCAATTCTTTGCCACCACAAAAAGAGCTGCTATAAATATTTTTGTACATGTGGGTCCTTTCCCCTTTTTTATGATATCTTTGGGATACAGCCCTAGAAGTAATATTACTGAGTCAAAGGGTATGCACACTTTTATAGCCCTTTGGGCATAGTTTTTTTAAGGGTTTTTTCCCAGTATTTTTTGTGCCTCTGCTCTTTTCATCAGAAATGCTTGAAAGTGTTCTGTTTCATTTAATATTCATTTTTTTCCCTGAAAGATTATACTTAGTTTTGCTGGGTAAGTGACTCATGGTTGTAATCCTAGCACCTTTCCCCTCTGGAATATCATATTCCAAATCCTCCTCTACTTTAACATGAAAGCCACTACATCTTGTGTGATATTGACTGTGGCTCCATAATGTCTGAATTGTTTCTTTCTGGCTGCTTGCAATATTTTCTTCTTGACTGGGAGCTTTGGAATTGACTGTGATATTTCTGGGAGTTTTCATTTGGGGATCTCTTTTAGGAGGTGATTAGTGGATTCTTTCAATTTCTATTTTACCCTCTGTTTATGGAACATTAGGGCAGTTTTCCTTTAAATTTCGTGATATATGATATCTAGGCTATTTTTTCAATCATGGCTTTTAGTTAGTACAATATTTTTTTAGTAATATTTTTCCCAATTATATGTAAAGACAATTTTTAGCATTAACTTATACAAAATTTTGAGTTTCAAATTTTTCTCCTCCCCTCTTCTTAAAAAAGGTAAGCAATTTGACATAGGTTATATGTATGTAATCCAATAATTCTCAAATTTTCTTTGCTTGATCTGTTTTCCATGTCAGATATTTTTCTAAGAATTCACATTTTCTATTTTTTCATTCTTTTGACTTTATTATATTGTTTTGTGGTGTCTTGTGGAGTCATTAGCTTCCCCTTGCCCAATTTTAATTTTTAAGGAATGATTTTCTGCAGTGAGCTTGTGTACCTCTTTTTTTTTCCATTTGGCCCATTCTGCTTTTTAAGTTCTTTTTCTTCAGTAAATTTTTGTACTTCTTTTACCATTAGACCAATTCTGTTTTTTTAAAGTGTTATTTTCTGCCCCTTTTACCAAGCTGTTCTCTTATCACAATTTTCTTGTATCACTCTCATTTCTTTTCCCAGTTTTTCCTCTACCACTCATCTCTTTCTTTAACTCTTCCAGGAATTCTTGTTGGGCTTGTGTCCAATTAGCCTTCTTTTTTTTCCCTTTGAGGCTTTGTTAATAGGTATTTTCACTTGTCTTCTGAGTTTGTCTTGTCTTCCCTGCCACAAGTTTTTTGTTGTTGTTGTTGTTTTGTTGTGGTGGTGGTGGTGGTGGTGGTGGTGGTGGTGGTGGTGGTTTGCCCATTTTTCCAGCTTATTTCTTGACTTCGAACTTTATGTTACAGTTGGGCTTTGCTCACCTTGTGGTGAGGAGGCAATGTCCCAAGCTTCAGGTTTTTTCTTGTTGCTGTTTTCAGAGCTAGCTAGCAGGTCTACAAGTTTTTGGTGCTTCCAAGGTGGGGTGATCCAGGGAGAGGTATGGTCACTGCTTTCCTGGTCTGCCCTCTGGTCATTACTCAGGAAGGGCCCCTGCTTCCCTGTAACCACAAGAGCTAACACTCCTCTTGGCCCTAGAATTGCAACCAAGGGCCCCTGCTTCCTTGTGATTGACCATAAACACTCTTCTCTGCCCTAAAACTGAAACCCAGAATGGTGTACAGGCAGTAGGGCTGCCAAACAGCATCAGACCCTGCACCCAGGTGCCAGCCAGCAAAAGGTTCCCCGTAATCTCTCTGACCAGTTGTCGGACCTCCTTACTAAGAGCTCCCAAAGCTGCTGCTGCAGCCACCTCCAAAGCCAGCCACTAGTGCTACCACTCACATGCACTCCAGTCCAATACCCCCTACCCCAGTGTAACAGAACTCTCCTACAAGCCTCCTCAGTGTCTTAGGCTGGAAAATTATCTCACATCAACCTTCTGTTGGCTCTGCTGCTCCAGAATTCAATTTGAGGCATTAAAGTTTTTTTTGAGGGGCATATTAGGAGAATTCAGTTGGATTTCTAACTCTACTATCTTGGCTCCACATCAAGGCAATTTTTCAAAATAAAACATTAAACACATTAGGCCTCATTCTAACGATGAGGTAAATTGATCAATTTTTTTAAATGGTATTAACTCTTCCTTAGTCACGGTAGACCACAACTAGAGCCTGGATTCATTATAACATCTCATACTATTCACGACAGCTTGGTTGTTAGAATAGAATGTATTCTTGTTACTTCATAACCCACTGTTTTCTTCTTTTGACACCATACTAATAGTATATACAACAGTCTTGATATGTCCAGTAAAGGAGCTCAGGAAACACACACATGAAAATAAATGCATAAAAAGCTTCACCATATTCAAACTAAAGCAGACTCATTCAATACATATATTCCTGTATTATTTTAGGTAGCCTGCTAATGAAACAAAAGAAGCATTGATTAACTGCTGTCATTATAAACTTGATAAATATTTTAATTTGTAGGTTCATTTATTTATTTGTTTATTTTTCAGCCAAAGACAAGGTTTATTAGAACATCCCTCATATTGGGCAGACTCTTAAGGAGTCTGAACATGGGTAAGCAGTGGCTAGATTATAAGAATCTGAGCCGTGGCTAGATTATAAGAATCTAAGCATTGGCTAGATTTTAAGAATCTAAGCACTGGCTAGATTATAAGAATCTAAGCCTTGTAGGTTCATTTAGTAAAAATTCTTAAAAATTATGTGCCATTCCCCCTTCTTCAGTTGTGCCTGTATTGGGTGTGCCAGTACTGAAAACAACTTGGGACAGATTCTGAGAAAGCAAATTTGACAAAATAATCCTTTTCTTGATGGCTCTGAATTGGATATCAATTAAATTATTGGTTAAAGAACAGCTTACAAGTATTTGGTAAGTGATTGAAGGAACCAAGTTTTCCTTGTAAAAAATAAGGTTCTAAAATATGTATCTGCCATAATGAAAGAGGTGAAAAATTATTTAACCATTTTATGTAAGATTAAGCTTGGAAAATTTCTAACTATAAACTGGTCTGTCTTCAGTCTATAATAATTCAGTCTCTTTCAAAATCATTCTAGGTGGTTTTAAATTGAAGGTTAAACTTCTGAAAGGATTATTTTAAATATTTGCCAAAATAACTGGAAAGTGAATTAGTTTAAATGGGCTAGTTTTGTGTCTTGTAAATGTCATTAACGGGAAGAATGGAATGGTATACTTAAGCTAATTATCCATATGGTATCATTGCTTTTAAGAGTGTATTTTGATATTATTTTAAACTCTTAAGGGCCATATACAATGAATTTGGATTAAGGGTCTAAGAACAGTTTTGTGAACAGTTTTCCAACCATAGATATGTTTTATAGGTATATTAAAAGTATTTGTGGAGAATTCAAATGAAGTTAAATCCTGCCAGGTGAAGAGAGGCTACGTTTAGAAATTGATTCTTAAATTTATTCTCATCAGAACTGCTAGACTAAATTTGTTAATAGCGTCCATTTTAACTAATCTGATTTTTTAAAAAATGTAATAGGAAGAACAATATTCAAATATACACTTAGGGGGCAGTAGCACACACTAGTAGCCAGATTTTATAGACATCAGATTGTATCCTTCTGTCATTGCAGATTCTACCTACGGTTCTGCACCATCTACATTGTATGTATTATTACTGTTTAAAACGAGATTCTAAGGGAAAGAAAGAACTAATGATCTGATGGAAATAGTTCATAAGAAAACTCTTATTGTCCACCTGACCAAAGGAAAATCTTTTAGTACCCTTTTCTATTCCCTAAATGAGTGTTATATGGTATCTTAATATTGATTTACGAATGCTAGAGTTCTGCCTTTATTCATGTGCTGGGTGTTATTCTGGTTAATTTCAGTTAAAAGGAAGTATTCTGAGCATGTTTTTTCAATGTTTGGTGTTTTTCATTTAAAAATCGTTCTCTTTGAATTTTTCTTTCAGTTGTCTTACTAATTGTATAATTTTTTTAATAAAAGGTTTTTATGTTTGTATTCAATTCATTATGAGAAGCTAAAGAACCACATTTAAAGCTATATCACAGTGATAGGAAAAATTGCTGCATACATCTTGCATAAAACCTTTAATTCTCAGACTTAATATGTGAATTGTTCTATCAGCTCCTCTTTTTTGGTTGTTGCGAGTTAAATCTTCGAGAGGGGAAAATCTTAAAATTTCAGAGCCCTATTTTTCTAAATTGAATATTCTATAACACATTCAATTGTTGTGATGTCTTTAAAAGGCTTAATAAAATATGAGGGAGGATTTGTTTTTCATTTATAAGTAGACATCAGTTGCTGAAGGGAGTGGGGTTAATAGTAAATTTGTTTCCACTCTTTCATATGACTATAACCCCTGTTAACTGACACACTGAAGGCTCAGTTGTGTGCTGTAATGTCTTATTAAAGAAAATATTAAAGAAAAAAAAAAGCTTTGCTGTATTTCAAGAATCCATGATTTCTTGTCATTGTGGATACTCCTCTGATAGATCACAGACCCACTATAATTGATTATCTTCCAAGATTGTCAAAAATTTCAATATACTGCAGTCAAGGCGATGAGCTTCTTTGGTCCTTAGCTAAGTATGGGTAAGATTTAAAACCTTTCCCACTTGGTGTAGGACCTGTTTCATCTCCATGCCACAGTGAGTTATCACTGAAAAGTCTTCAGTGGAAGTGCACTTAACCATGGTATAATGGAGACAGACCTTGGAACCAGGAAGCCAAGTGTAAGCCCCACTTCTAACATATACCGGTGGTATGACACTGGGCGAACCATTTAAAGCTCCGAATGCGCAACTGTAAGACAATAGGTTACAGAGAAAGTGCTGACCTGTACAGCAAGTTTCCTACACCAATGAAATCACAGGTCCTATTTCTATCTCTATTCTGTTTCTTAATGCATCATTTTTTTCGCTTATGTACTTGTTTTCCAAAGTGGTGGTCTTCAAACTTTTTTGATTATGCACTTCTATTAATAAAAACAAACCTTTTAAAAAAATGTGTATACTAGAGGGCATACCTAATAACCCCTTGCAAAGTGCTGCAGTTCAGCTTAGGTTATAACTACTATGAGGAGGAACTGCTGCTGGGCTCATAAGGGAAAAGTTGGGAGTCTGCACAGCTGGGAAAGGGGTTGCAGTACTGGGCTGTAATCAGTGGGTAGATGTAGTTGTGTTGTAGACAAGTTCCATGACTAGCTCTAACATACTGTTTGAGCCCCCACAGGGGCTTGTGGTTCCCACTTTCTAGAGGATCATAGATAAATTTCATTCAACAAACTCACTGAATACTTATCATGTAGAGAATACTAACATGAATAAAGATATAGTCCCTTCTCTCTATGAACTTACATTCCAGAATGGGAAATAAAACACAAACACATAACTTTTATAATAAAGCAAGATATACCTGCTATGAGAAATTGTAGGAGTTCAGGAAAGGAAAAGAAATGACTTTTGGTTTGTGGGTTCAAGGAAGTCTTAATATAATTTTGTATTGGAATGAGTAAAATTTGAATAATATCATCCAAAGAAAAGCAAAAATGCAGGTCACATTCAAGAGAATGAGGGAGTAGAAGATAAAGGTAGGAACCTAGAATGCCAAATTTATTTAAGACTTTATTCAGGAAGTAATGAGAAGCTACTATTCGTTTCAGAGGAGAGTGACATATTCATGGCTGTGCTTGAATTTACTTTAGAAATATATGCTGCCAATAGTCCAGGTTAAAAATAAGAGCTTAAAGCAGAATAGTGACATTAAGCATGTAAAAGGGAATTGGTTTCAAGAAACAAACTCTGGGGAGAGACTGCATATGGAAGGTAAGGGAATCAGAATACACAAAATTAAAGTCCAAATATGTTTAATGAATAAAACGGTACTATTAACAGAAACACGGATTTGGAGCTAAGTGGCTTTAGACATTTTTGTAATATTAAAATAACAATTTTTAAAACAATTTGTTAATATCAATTGACAGAAATAATCCAGATTGTTTTAGAAGCATACTATCACTTTCATTTTTTCCTTTGACTCGAATTCTCCCCACAGAACTTACATGGTCTAAATTTTATTTCATCACAGTAACGTCTTGTTCCAATCAATTTAAACCATAATAATTTTTATGCTTTCTTTAGGAGTATCTTTTTGTTGACATTCAGAAATATCTTCGAGTTGAGCTATCCTTCCTTCTCAAAAGGCAGATTTCTGAAAATAATCTGAATTAAAAATCTGTAAATTCTTCTTCAATTCTGTTGTAATGTAGTAACTGGTCTTCTAATCCATAGCTGTCTATCAACTGAGTAAGGCTTAGTTTCTTGTGCTCCACAGACAATGTTGATTGCAGCTCCAAAAGCAACAGCTGGCTACTATTTCGCCACTTCTTTATCAATGATTGCAATTGTGAAAGATTATTCTGAAATAGAAAACAAAATTATAAGTATGTTATGTCTAATTACATAATTTTTAAAAAATATGTAACAGGTATTAAAGTAATTGGTTTCCTTGGGCCTACTTTTTTAAATTCAGGAGTTATTCAATCAACAAATAGTTATTTAGGAAGGGCTTACTATGTGCGCCAAACACTGTGCTATAGGTGCTGGGGACCCAAGTATTAAACAGTCCCTATTCAAAAGGAGCTTACATTTTAATGGGGTCAAAACAAATACATATAAAAACATATACAGCATAAATACAGTTTGGGAGAGAAAGCTCAAGAAACATTTTTCTACTCTTTTACTTCTTCCATTTTTCCAAGGAGCAGTTAATTCTGGTAAGATTTCAAAATTAAAAAAAAAAACCGAAAAATTCAAACCATCCAATCCAACAAACTTTTACTAAATACTGGGCAAAGACAAAATGAAAAACACCCTTGCCCTCAGGGCATGTGCCTATTTACAACATTCAGCTTTCCAGTAGAATATAAGTAGACAGATGCCAATTTGAGAAAGAATGTGAACTCCTTTAGGAGGTGGCACATAAGTTTAGCCTGGGAAGAGGTTCTAAAACATGAAACTGAAGAGAGAGTACAAAAAAGCAAAGAACAAGACTTGAATGAAGAGATGAGAAGACACTTCTAACCTACACCTTCGTGGAGGTGGGATGTCCACGGGTGTTACACACTGCACGTGTTTTGGGACTTTTTCAATGTATCAATCAGTTGTGGTTTTTTTTTCCCTTTCTAAAAAATACTATTTGTCATATAGGATGACTCTTTGGGATGGGGTAGAGAAGGAATACGTGGGATAACTATGGTAATATAAGAAACAGAAAATATCAATAAAAACAGAGGCATGAGATGGAATGCTGCATTCAGGGAACAAATGTGTCTATCCTAGAGGCAAAAATCACTAAAGGTACTTGAAATGGCAAAGTCAGACCTGTGCTTCATGAAAGTTATTTTGGTGGCTGTGTGCAGGATGGACTGGAAGTGAAGAAGCTGGGAGTCTATAAGGGTATGAAATAGAGTGGCAGTCATATGAGGAGAAGACAGGATGAATGGCATGAGTTGGTTATGGACATGAAACTTGGTAAATGGATTGGATACAGGGGTAGGGAAGATGAGGAACAGAGTCTGAGGTTGTGAAGCTGAATGACTGAAAGAATAAGGATGCCTTGAAGAAAAATGGGATGTTTAGAGAATAGGAATAGTTCCATTACGAATATATTGAGTTTGAGATACCTATGGATGGCTGGCGATATAGAAAAGGACTTTACATCTGGGAGATATCTGCATAAAGAATTTAATTCAATCTATGGGAGATAATAAGATCATTAGGGAAAAAATATCAAGGGAGAAAAGAAGAGGACCTGTGACAGAGTCACAGAATACCTATGGCTATGGGGTAGAACCTATACCACAGCAGAATACCTATGGCTATGGGGTAGAACACGAATGATCCAAGAAGTAACAGACAAGTAGAATTGATGACCAGGATAGAGTAGTGTCACAAAAATTCAGGGCAAGAATATATTCAGAAGAAAACAAGTGGTCTAAAATATAAAATGCTAAAAAGGTCAAGAAAGTTGAGGATAAAGAAAAGGTCATTAGATTTAACAGTTAAGAAATCTTTGGCAACTTTGGAAATAGTTTCCATTGAATGGTGAAGTCTAAAGTCACAATGTTATGGAGCGATAAGGTGCTGGGGAAAAAGGCATAAGAATAAAAAAAATTTCTACTCAAAAGAAGCTTAAATTCTAATCGGGGATAAGTACATATAATATATACAGCATAAATATAAAATTAGTAAGTACAAATACTCCCCATTCTCCTTCAGAAGCTCTGCCTAGCTTCCACTCCAGGAAACAACATGCCTTCCCCACTTCCTCCTAGGATAAGCTGATCATCTAGAATCTAAGTTGTCTCTCTCCCCTCTTACTGGACGGCTGGTAAACTAAACTCCCAAAGCCTTTATATAAAACAGTAGCTTGAGGGAACTGCAGGGGTCAGGTGAGGGACCTGGAGAATTTTAACCTTTGTCTAGATCAGGGATAGGGAACCTGCGGCCTCGAAGCCACATGTGGCCCTCTAGGTCCTCAAGTGGGGCACTTTGACTGATTCTAAACTTCACAGAATAAATCCCCTTAATAAAAAAATTTGTTCTGTGAAGTTTGGATTCAGTCAAAGGGAACCACCGCTGGTCTCAACGAAAGAAAATGAGACAAAAGAACTACTAAACATCTGAAGCTAAGCATTAGATATGAGGCTTCTCTGGCACAGTGGGAAAATAGTCTCTGAGACAGAAGCAGCTGATATTGACATGCACCTGTCTATCATCCCAGGAGGGTGCAAGAAAAAGAAATGCTTGCTGGTGGTTGGTCCATTCCTGCTGAGGCAGCTCGTTGTCCACCTGTTATTATCAATAGAGGTCTGTTTGCTATATTTCTGAAATATGTACCCAAAACATGATAGAGAACTTCCTACAACTGCAATTCAAGTACAGAACAAATGACACTGACCAAAGGAACCCAAAAAGCATCAGTCAAGATTGTGAAAGTCCTGGTGAAGAAACTAAAGACCTTGGGGAATAAAAGCTGGGTTTTCATTCTTGCTACCAACTGAAGGGAAGGGCTCAGGAATAATGATAATATAGCTAACATTTACGTAGCATTTATTATGTACCAGGCACTGTGCTAAGTGCTTTACAATTATCTCATTTGGCCCTCACAACAACCCTAGGAGGTAGGTACCATTATTATACCTATTTTACAGATGAGGAAACTAAGACAAACAGCAGTTAAATGACTTGCCGAGGTTCACACAGTCAGCAAATGTCTGAGGTCAGATTTCAACTTAGGTCTTCCTGACTCCAGGCCTGGTTTCCTATCCACTGTACCACCTTTAGCTAGCAAAGAAGGCGGTGTCTGAGAATAGCATTTCCATTTTTGGACCACAGCTCAAAATACAGAAGCTCTCAGATTTGTAAGGTACTTAATGTAGTCCAGTAAAATTATATTGGCCTAAACATCCGATGACCAACAACATGGCAACGTAGGTATTCTCAGCATAATGCCTTTACATCATCTCAAAAAAGCAAGAAATATACTAAACTTATAGTAATTAAAAGTACAAGAAGAAAAATATATAAACATCTCCATATAAGTTAAAGCCTTCTGAAATAATTACAAAGGACTTATCTAAAAATTCCCACTCGCCTTAACCACTCCAAGTTTGCTTGAATACACACTGAAAATTATATGACAGGTATATTTCAAAGGCCACCTATAGTAGGTAAAGCCTGTTGCTTCATGAAAAGTGACTTAGTCTGACTCCTACACATGGTACAACAGATGGAAAATATTGATTTTGCCCTGCTATGCAAAAGAAATGCAACTCACGATTGGTGGGGAGAGGGAGCAAAGGCTCAGAGATAAAAAATACTCCATGTCCATGAGAGAAAGGGCTTACAAACCCAGCCATTGTCTCCCAGGGTTATTTACACATGGCAAAGACACAACTGAACACATCTCTAACTCACGGAGGCTGAGAATGCCTAGCCCTACGGGTTTAGGCAGGAAAAAACATGCAGACAGCAACACTGGAAGTGGAAAAGGAAAAGAAGAAAGCCGGATATAAGTTCTGAGAACAACAGAAAAAGAAAATGATCAAAATAAAACATCTGGTATGAGCCCATCTCCAAGCACATTAACCAATAGTGAATCTATTAAGTGGCAAATTAGAAACAGCACTAAACTTGGAGTCAAAAAGACCAGAGTTCCTCAGTTCCTCCGGAGTGTCTCAGACACTTAATAGCTGTATGCCTCTGAGAAAGTCACTTGCCCTCTCTGGGATTTTGATTTCTCCTCTGTAAAAACAGAGGGGTAGACTTAATGAACCTTGGTCTCTTCTGGCTCAAAAGTCATAATCCTATGAAAGAAGGAAAACTGAACAAACATTCCAGAAAAGGCCACGATATAATGAATAGTATGTGCTAAAAGAAAGTAAACATTTGAAAAAGAAATTCTACATACCACCCCCACCCCCCAAAGATAATCAAACTAGCAAGAAATTCCAGAATTGTTCTTCAAAAGAGAAGATGAAATTAGGATATTAAGATGAGAGCACCCAAAGAAGGAATAAGCCAAACACAGGACTAGATATGTCAGTGTATGATGGAGAATTTCTTCAAATCACTATAGGAGCTGAAAAAAAGAATGACAGATTTGAGAAACTTCAAAACCCAGGAGCCTTTCAGTTCCTGGAGACAGGCCTGATACTGATAGTGCAACGAGTTTGCCTGTTTGAATAATGACAAATTTTGAGCGAGCAGAGTCAAGCACCTGAATCTTGACTATCTCAAGGCCATAGCTATTTCACTGCACACTGAACTTTGGTGCCAACTTCTAATTCTGATCTGAATGCTGTCTCCTGTTCCTGTACCACTGGCTCAGAAACTTATATGCATGGTAACTGAGTCCATATTCTACAAGACTGATACTTTGGGCCCCTTGCTGAGTGGGAATTGTATAACCACAACTTTTCACCTTGCTGCTCAGCTTAAGAAGTCCTACTAATAATAGCTAATAGTATGAGGATCCCTCAAGGGCAGAGGAAAAGAACATTATACTTGTGCAAGTATAAATGTTTTAAAAAATTTTCTGTGTATCATGTAGGACAAAAAAATTCCAATGAAATCACACACACTTTCTTTCTCAATTTATACAATAACAACAATACTGTAAGGAAAATCAAATCTGAAAGACTTAAAAACACTCTCATCAACACAATGACCAACCACAAGTCCAGAGACTCATGATGAAACATGTTACTTACCTCCAGGTTAAGAGGTGATGGACTCAGAGTGCATATATATGTGTCTCTCTGTGTGTATATGTACATATACATATATGCACACACACATATACATGCATGTGTGTATTATATACACACATATATAACATATATTTGGCATGATT